TCTTGTCCGTCTGTCTCCTGGCAACCACCTTGTCAGGGCATAAATTATTCTCTTCACATCCACGTGAAAAGAGGAGAGCATAGAGAGATATATGAGATTGTGTTTGCCATCCAACTTGTGAGGCAAAAGTGGAGCTCCACCATTGGAATTGTATTATTCTCTACCGAAGCTAGGCGACATACGTGGGAAAGTTAATGCTTCTCTGGAGAACAGAGCAAACAATTGGGATATATAACCACACATTACCCAAGGAAAGTGGGAGGTAAGACTATTATCTAACATAAACTCTGTGCTACATACAGCTACTCACACCACTCTATCTTTGCATTGAAATTGAAGTGATCCTGGTATTCAGATTCTATATAAGAATTCATACACATTGTTGGTGAGATAACAGGCAGTTAATCATTCCTTGCTCTCAAATGTCATTGCTGCTGGTTGTATAGTGATAGAAACGATGTAGGCTTATATATGCCATCACTAATTGTTATGACAGCAATGGAGCATGGCCAAGTTTGTTTTGTAATACAATGATATGCCTATGTCATCACCTGTTTGCCATTGTATGCACTTTCTTCTACAAAAATGGAGATGATAAAGAGTGCATTATTTTGAAAAGAATTGGGTATTTAATGTGATTTATGTATTTCCAGATTTTGTTCTTTTTTTAGTGTAGGTAGTATTATAGGTAGAGCTGCATTTTTATATCAGTAGGATATAAACATTTTCTTGATTTGAAGATTAATAAGTTTGGATGGAGTGATGATATTCAAAGACTAACATAGTCATTACCGACACAAAAAACAGTCTTTTGCTTTCTACAAATCCGTTACTGCATTCAGCTTGGCACATTTCACCCCTGACCTTTCTCTGTATACATATTTCGTCATCAACATTTAAAATGACAAGTGGGTCAAAGGGAGCATCATAAATTCATCTATTACGTTAACATGTCCAGTACATGCCAATTAAAGTAAACTCCAGATCAATCATACCACCATGCAGGCTCCATCCCTCCATCTATACCAGCTAGTGGAAGCTAGGAGGGGTGGAAGCTAGGAGGGGTGGTAGACAGTTGTGTCAACATCATTTCCTAATGACATTGGCATAAAGCCAGTATGTAGCCGGGGTAGCAATGAAACCTTGTTCTGATGGTGCTACTATAATGGTCGGGTTGTCTTTCAGATTTATTTGTTTGAAACATTTACATCGATGTTCCTTTTAGCTGTAACATGGACACATTAGACACTCTATTGTAAATATAGCAGACTATGTATGGGGTCCATGGTTTATGATATCGATATGCTGCCAGTATCATCTTTGTGGGTTGTTCGGTGTCTGTCTGTTACATACTCTTGTTGTCACCATATCTAAGTACAGGTAGCTATTTGCAGGTAGAGCTGTTAACTTGGTACCAGCCTCCATCACCATAAAGAAATAAACCAATTTGAAAGTTTGTCATTAAGGTCAAGTTAAACAACTTCTAGAAGTCTATGCTAACAATTTTTAATATTTATGCGCTATATCCCCCCCCCCCCCCTTAAAAAAAGGGGAAAGGAGAAAGAAGATATAGCATCTCTTTGGAGCCAGAAGGCCATTCAAACTTTGACACAATGTTAATGCCCTTCTGGCACTAAATGAATGATAAATGAATGATAAATGAATGATAAATGTTGTTGCAATTATGTTCCCTGCAAAGCATTAAAAAATACACGGGGGCTCAGGGCGAATTAGACCCTGAAATGCCCAAAAGAGCCCCAGAAAATCAGAAAAGAGCCCCCGCAAATTTGCATAGAGTTCAATGCAAAAAAAAATTAAGAGTGTTATTTTTATGCAGGCAAGCTTGAAAAGTAGCCCCCGAAAAATAAATATTATTTTTCCCCCTGCTGCAAAGGACTTCTAGTTATCTACAAGGCGAGTTTTACCTAAAAGACAAGGTTGCTTTTATGTTCATTTGTACACTCTCATGGACTGCATATCCCAGTTTTCATATTTGGTACAAGGAGGCATGTATTAAGAAGATGATCTGATTAGATATTGGGAAAAGCTGATGGAAACATGATTATTGGCCTTGTTATTGCAAGAGCTGGCAGTATGCAGTGTTGTATATTAACAATTCTTCTCATTTTCTGGCAACATGTTAGAGGAAATGGCAATTTTCACACTTGAAAATTATATTTTGACAACTTTGCTTGCCATGTAAGACTTTCATCATGAATGTAATACATGTACATATATTACAAGCAATCTGTCATAAATTTCATTTTGTCACTGACTCACTGTGCTTTGAAACACTTGATATTATGCCCAAACATACACAACTACAGCATCTTCAAGGAAAAGCTGTATTTGAACAAGATGTACATTAATGATTTTCCACACAACATTTTCAATTTTTTATTCACCAAAACTGGAAAGCTTTTCATGAATTTATTATTAAAAATAAATAAATTCCTTATACCTGTATTATGTGATTGACTTGATTTGTTATATAGTGAAAACATGACTAATCCATGTAAAATCCAGGTGCCTATAGGACTACAGGGCGAAACATCAATAATAATATGGATCTCTAGAAACTGTGGCCAAGTTATTCTAAGGTTCTTGTTCGCTTCTTGCTTTTTTGCCTGACTGCTTATTTCCATGCCTGGTTTTTCACCTGTCTAACTCGATTAAGCCTGTTGCACAGATGTTTCGTGTCTTGTTTAGATATGGAAGTCAAGTTTATCATATTTTGAAGATAATAAAGGTAAACCATAACTGCAGACATCAACATTTTGCTGACATACTGCATTCACACAGAGACAAAAATATCCTTCTGGGACCATGTGAGAGATACTTGTAAAAAAAAATTGTTAATGGATATTGCACTTTGTGATTCGAATTTTCATATACTAAAACAAAGTATCCATTAAAAATATTATACAAACAGTATTTTATAGTTTATTGTTAGGCAGCACTTTATTATTAGTCTGTCTGTAAGAAAAATATCTGAATTTATTAGCTATGAAAGCAGTGAGAAAGACACTAATCCAATAGAAATACCTTCTTTAATATCAAGTACACTCACATGGTTTTCAAAATGTGCTGCTGTTTTTAGTTTACTTAACTGTTACAAAACAGCCCCCCTCCCCTTCCCCAAATTATGCCGATATGATTACTTAGCAAACAAGATAAATGAGCTATAAATTACTTTGACTATATGGAGTCTAAATAAACACTACTTGGATATAGGGATATGATTTTGGACTTTACTCAGAGCTGCTCTGAGACTTCCCATTAAAGTACAAAAAAGGATATAGATTTCCCGCCGAAGATTTCCTGATTATGATGCACCAGGTACCTTTGATAACAGAGTATACTGTGGTTTACTTGCATTGGTTCAGTTGCTGATTTAAATTGAAAGGCCATGAACAAAGCTATCGAAACGGCAGAATTATGTCACTTGGTAAGCATATTACATGTGCAAACTACAAAGAAATTTGATAACATGTGGGTGTAATACTGATCGTATGAGGAGCTTGTATAATGATGAATTTGAGTGGAATCTTGAGAGAGCAGTGCAGTGTGCATTGTATTTATTTCAGTATCACAGTTACTTCTTGATACGGGCAGCCATATTCCATCAAAAACAGAATAATTTGGGAATTTCAAATTTGCTTTCATGAAAGTATTGACTTCATTATTGACTGTGCTGTAACAAATACACCACACTTAATTCATCAACTTGTATAGCTAGACCCTTACTATAAAAGATTAGAATATTTTTGTAATACAATTACATACAACAAGGCACAACTAAGACATTGACACTAGCCTTTGTGTGGAGTGATACAAAAGAATAGATCCCATATGCAACATTGTTACTTATTGTCAATATCATGCGATCCATGCAGCTTTTAGATTTAGGTCAGAGCTGTTTTCATTTGCAACATGAGCACATTGTGTTATCCTTATTCTCAAAGAGGGCCTCCACTCTGTTGAAATACAAGCATTCTTATAAGCCGTGTAGTAGCTACTCCGGCCTCTACAGACAATGTAGGTTCATTGATGGAGGAAGTCTCTACTTGGACTGAGGACAGACTGTTCCGTTGTGGTAGAGCATTGATGGAAGATCGCCAGCTAGACGTGGAAGAGGGCAGTTTCCCCCCATCTTGTTTGGTTAACGTTGTGCTATGGTCTGACCTGAAGCAGGTTTCATGATGGCTAGGAACAAATTTCAATAACGGAGATTGACTTATGCCATGAGCTGTAAAAGCTAGCTCCCTCCATGTATTCATATGATTTCTGCAGATCGGTGTATTGAGGGCTTAATGTTTTAGCTTGCAGTCAAGTACTCTTTCCATCTTACATATTAAAGCAACAAAGAACTAGGATTTTCATAGCCTGCATATTTCTTAGAACTAAGTGAGCTACTATTCTTGAGTATTCTATGAAGTGGGGTTATAGGCTTTACTTGAAGGTTTGCTTGCTTCTCCAATATATTCCTTTCCTCTGTCATTATCATTTAATGATAATCCTCATTAGAATCATTAACAACATAGGATAATAAGCAGCATATCTGATAAAAGTTTTATAGGGATAATATCATATGTCAAAAAAATGTGATTTGACATTAGATTGTCACATCTTGCTTAAAGTCTGGTTTGTGTTCAGATTGTGGGATATGTTACATTTCTTCCTGCATGATTTTCTTTTCTTTCCTTTTCCTTTTTATAAATATTCCTTTAAAACAAATTTCATGTTATGAGGATAAATTCACTTACTAGTATCCTGTCAGGCCACAGAAAGTTTCCCTGTACTCTAGAAGGAATATATGTATGCCTTTGAATTGATTTGGGGAGAAACAATTCTTTACTTGCCATCTTTACATAGAGTTTCTGTGAATAGTTTGTGTTCATCAAAAATTTCCAAAATCTATTTCTATAATCCCATACATGTTACACTTTTTACTTGAGAATAACAACAAATATTCTTCTTTCTGTTCTTTCCCCGTACAGATCCATTTGCCTCGCCAGATGACCAGCCTATGCCCCAGGCAGAAACATCTCCAGCACAAAACATCTATGATCTCCAGTCCTCTTGGCCACAGCAACCACATGCAGGTAACGAAGACACTCAAAGGCAGCCAGATGATCATCTAAACCAAGAGGAAACTTTTCCCGCAGAAGTGATCTCTGATAGATATGATGAAGAGAGAGACCAAGATTATCCAGAGGAAACATTGGGTTATGTCCATTCAGAACAGAATTTAGAGGAAGGTGAGGTAGAGAAAGTTGATGCAACTGGAAGTGGAGATTATTCAGGACAGGATCATCTAGATCCCTATGATGCAGAAACAGCAGATCATCTAGATCAGAAAGGCATCGAGACAGAAAAGGACAGTCTCCAGGAAAATCTAAATCTTCAAGAAGCAGTAACAGCAACTGTACTATCAACAGAAGGAACAACAGACCATTTACAACAAGAGCATGAGGATCCCCAGGAAGCAGCAACAGCAGATTATCCAGAAGAGGAGGGTATTGGCAAAGAAAAGGACACTCGAGAGGAACATCTAAACGTTCAAGAAGCAGCAACAGTTGATCATATAGAACAGAAAGATATTGCGACAGAAAAGGATTATGTAGATTCCTTTGAAGCAACAACATATAGTTCAGAGCAGAAAGATTCAGAGTTTGAGAAGGACACTCCACAGGGATTAGTAGATCCCTATGCAACCACAGAAATAGATTATTCAGAGCAAAAAGATATTGAGAAAGAAAAGGAAACTCAAAATGAATATCAAGATCCTTATGGTGCAGCACATGCTGCTCAGCAAATAACAACTGAAATGCAACAAGACCCTGTGCAAACCAGTGGAGATCCATACTCATCAGCACCGATCCTGGTTGGACTAAATGAGAAGGAAGAGGTGCAACAGCCAACAGAAATTTACCAGGAATATGCACAAGGGAGCATTGAACCTGCGGCTTCAAAAGAGAATGAAGTTCTGGTAGACCAGGAGGAATTACTGAATTCAGAAGAGATTGCACAAGAATACCCGTCTGAAAGAGTAGACTCTTTTGAAAAAGTGCAAGGAGAGAAAGAGGAAGATATTACACAGCTTAGTGGAGTAGAACATCCATGTGAAAGTATGGAAGAAGAGAAAGATATTGATACAAAAGGGAAAGATATGGAGCAAATGTTAGGTGCCTCACATATTCTACAGGAAAGTATATCACCAACAGAAGCTTCATATATGCAGACCCCAATGCACACTGAAGAGCAGGGTGAAAAAGAGGATCTAGGACTAGAATATCAAGAACATACAGAAGAAGAACAGGAACCAGAACAGCTTCTTGATCCACACGCCCCAGAGATTGCTGATATGGCTGACACAGGTGACACTTTACATCCAAAAGATTCAGAGCTGCTTGGGGACGTTGATCAGCCAGCTCAACAAGGCAATATCCCACAAGACTACAGTGATACATTATTGATAGAAGCAGAAGTAGGTGAAAAAGAGGCTGAAACTGAGTTTACAGCTTTGGCTACATTAGAGGAGAAAGACATGGCAGATGAACAACAAGTGCATGAAGATGATCATGTTTTAGCTCAAACCCGCGATGACCAGGTAGAAAGTGGAAATATGCAACCTGAAATGTCAATAGATCCAATCGATGCTGTGTTTAGGGCCAATTCACAAGAAAATTTGCTGGGTCTTGACCCAGAAGCAGCAGTCTTCGAGCCAAAGAAAGACGAGACCGCTCCTGAAAACTTAGAACCAGTACTTGAAAGTGATCAAAATGTCACACCAGCACAGCCAGATGTCGTTCATGCTCCTTCATATGATAGAGAAGATGCCAATGTTGATCTTTCATATGATCAAGACACTGTTGTGTCTGCTGAAGTTGATACTGAGTCTTTCCAAAGTGGACCTGTTATACAATCATCAGATCCACTTGTATCTCAAGGTCTTTCACAAATTGATATTGAGCCTTCCCAGCAAAGTGCAGAAGATCTTTCCATCCCCACTGCCCCTGTCAACGTTCAAGAGAGTGATGATTATCATGGTGATGAATATCAAGATGAAAGAGTAGAACCTGACAGATATGAAGAAGGGCAAGGAGAACCTGACAGAAGTGAAGAAGAGTATGAAGAAGAGGCAAGAGAGCCCACTCCACAAGGAAATGCATCCAACCTGCCACTTCTGGACTTGGGTGATGGCCCAGTACAGAGTTTGTCTCTTGCAGATGCAAACCAGTCTCCTGGACAACATTCATTTGAAGGATCCTTCTCTCCCATTGAGGATAATGTTGCAGTTTCCCTTGCCTTGGAGGATCAAGCTCATGTGTTGGAAAGTGGGGAGCAGGAAGAAAGTGATGATGCAAATACTGAGACCACAGAGGTAGAAGCAGAACTGCATGAAGACAATTTCGAACAAGAAATTCAACATGAGGTGGAACCAGCATACAATACTCCAAAAGAAGTGCCTACTGAAGCTGAAGGCCATGAAGAAGATCTTCATGACAACATCCTAAGTGAAGGGAAGGATACTAGTGAAGTGCCCCAATATGAAATTGCTGATACTAATGTAGATGAGAGTCATTCTGGCCTTGTCCAAGATAAGGTTGAAGTCTGCCCTGATCAACACGATACTATGCAAACACCAGTGGAGACATATCTAGAAGAGAATGAGAAAGCAGATGATGAATACAACCAGATTCAACAGGAGCTTCCAGAAGACTCCATGGCTGGGGTTGATGGTGATGGACTTGATAAAAGGGAAGAATTTTCTTCTGCTGCAGAAAAAACCTCTCAAGAAGTATATCCTGAGCCTTGTGAGCAAGCCACCCCAGAAATAGTAATGCATGAGTATTCAGAAGAAGAACTAGAAACTGAAGAAACACCATACACTGCTCCAGATGTTTCCACAGATACTACACTTCAGAACACTGCAGACAAACTTCTTGGAGACCCAGAAGAGGATGATGCTCTTATAATGGAAAGATCCAGAGCTAGTGCTACACCTCCAAACACACCTGAAGTTATTTTACCCTCTCCTCCTGAAATGTTACCTCCACAGGCATTATTTCAGGAGACTATGCAAAAAGAAGGGGAAGCAGCTGAAGATCAGTTAGCTCCTGAAGCCGAGCAACTTGAACCCTACGATGACCTGATAGTTCAATCTGAAGAAAAGCAAGAACCTTCAACAGAAGAACCTGTTGTACATGAAGCTGATGAGGTACTAGAATCGGCACCTGAGGAACCTCCCTCTGCTGCTTCCATATGCGAAGAGAAATCAACCTCTTCAGAAATTACCACACCAAGTGTTCCCCTTGCTGTACACACTCCAGAGGTACCTACAGCTACATCTGCAGCTGTTGAAGCTGAGGAGAAAGAAATTAAATCAAGTCCTGCTCAGCAAAAGAAGCCTAAGACTCCTACTGGCACCAAATCACCTTCTAAAAAACCAAGCCCGTCTGCAGCACAGAAAGCTAAATCGAGTGTGAAACAGGGATCTGATACACCCAAGAAAACAGCAGCTTTGTCAAGATCTCAACCAAAAGCAACTGCTCCAGGGGAGAGAAAAGAAACTGCAAAGGCACCATCCAAATCTCCAACAAAATCACCATCAAAGATACCTTCAAAGACACCAGCAAAGGTTCCAGCAAAGGTACCACCAGCAAAGGTACCAGCAGCAAAGACACAAGCAAAGGTACCAGCAGTGAAGACACCAGCTAAGGCTTCTCCAAAGGTCTCAGCTCCTGCTCCAGCGAGACATGCGTCATCTGCTAAAAGGACACCAGGATCTTCTGTTGGTGCCACAGCTACAAGGCCGAAAACGGCTCCTCACAAGGTGGACACTAAACCAATTGAAAGCAAACCAAAGCAAGACAAGGTATAATGCAGTATGGCAATGAGTGTTTGAATAGAGTAATACAAAAATACAAGATATGAATGTCAGATCTATATATATATATTTGTTATCCTTTCCATGGCGTTCCTAGCAAGTTATAGCTATAGTATTTCCTTGTTTACCCTTATTCACAATGCAATATAATTCTCAATACCTAGCATCAGATCCATCGGAAAGCAAGTGAAACACTTGCATCCAGAAGAATAATGCATATTGGAGTTTTAGCATTTTGGGACAATATATACAAGAATCTGTGATGTTTACTTGGTTTCTAATGGTACTAAATTTCAATGAAATGTATATGAATATGTTAATATTGCTTCTAAATACTTGTTGACAGTCAGATTTTCTTTTATTACTAAGAGTTTCTGTCTTGCTAATTAATATCTACAAAAAAACAATTCTAGGAAAACAACCCCTTAGACGATTTATGGGAAAACTACCCTTCTGAATGTTCACCACCCAAACAACTACCCCCTCCCTGGATCCCTTTGACAACTCACCAGGAGCAATCTAAAAAGAATAGTTATTGGCATGAAGGGGGGGGGGGGTGATAGACACATGGTTATTTGTTCTAATATTCTAAATACATATATAGACATGCTGGAATACCTATTTTGCAACAGTTCAGCGAGTTGTGTAATATACCAATTAAGTGAGTCTTAACAATTCAACTTTTTTTTAAAGAGCATTAAGTAAAGAGATATTTCTGACGGATAAGAAAAAGGTGATGTAACTTGGCTGTGCACCTACGTCTCAGGAAGGTAGAACTTAATCAATCTACTACAGCAACTGCATGTAGACCTACTACAATCTTTCATTTTCTTGTATTATTTTCTTAGCAGGTTTATGATTCAAAGCATGCTAAATTCTTATGTTCAGGATTTGGGGGGGGGGGGGGCCACACACATTAATCCATATATAATTCCAGAATCAACACTCTTGAATGGAATCAGTGATATCCGCTTTCTAAGTATTCCTTATGACGTAATTTTGGTTTGTTTGAGCTTTTCTAGTGATAAAAGCGTAATATGACGGGGTAAAGAGTATGTAAGTTCTCTTCCTATGGCATGCACTTGAGGTGGAATTGGATGCCCCAAAATACAGTGCACTTCCTTCTCATCAATCATTCTTACGATATCCCTGCTGAAAATGAAAAACAAAAACAAAACATCTTGTTTATTCATTTGATAAAACAAAATAGACATGGTATCTTAAAGGTGCCAATAACTGTAAATGCAATGTTTTTCTGTGAAGCTGACCCATTTTGTTTTTGTTTTACCTGCTGCTTTCAGGTGAAGATGTCTGGAGTTAAGCAGAAGACAGTTACTACTGTGACTAAGACTACACATACAGAAGTCAGATCTGCCAATTCATCACCAAGAAAATCAGGTAAAGCAAAATGAATGATGTCCTTATGTTTTGGGCAAGTTGTTGAAGGCAATGTAAATTAATATTTAGCTTGATTATTTAGCATTTTATATTTGGACTAAAATTCATCAATAATTGGCTAGGATCACAGTCAATTATTTTATTATGTCTTCAGATCATAGCCTGAGACAGGAACATTTTAAAGTCAAGTTTGAAACCAAAATATTATTTTACATTTGGTAAAATAATGATAGTAATTACTCTAGCTAAATTTTCTAGTCTCTTTTAATCTGAAATGTCATGATAATTACCTAAAAAATAAAAAAAAAATTATTTATAAAAAGAAAATTTGTTTACTATTCACAGTAACCCTGCTGTCAAGAACAGTTAAATTTTTGTTTGATATAGCTGCCTCATGAAGAATCCTTTTGCTGTAAATTCAATTATTCAAGTCCACATTTCCTAATAACTTTGGGTATTGTTTATTAACAAAATCTTTTACACCCTTGAAAAATCCATATATGATGTTAGTTATTCTATTATCTTGAGGAGCACCACTATAATTATTCATCACTTTGTTCAATCATTCTTTATCCTTTAGCTGATGGGGATTCCCCTAGAGTGAGGCATTCTCCAGGGCGGAATGGTGCTGCATCCAAGATTGGATCTCTAGATAACAGCAGACACTCACCTGGAGGAGGAAATGTAAGTTTTTGGGGGAAGGAGGGGAGGAATGGGGGAAGAGGGAGGAATATGAATACTGAAAACATGTTACCCGCCCTCACGCTTCTTACACTTTTAGGGAAGGAATGAGTGGGCCTTGTGGTCTAGTCAGTATGGTCTGCAAGTACAATGACCCGGGTTTCCATCCTCAATCGTGTCTTTTGGATACCTATAGTGATTCTGCATTTTGGTCATAAAACATATAATCAGATCTGTCTGATACACATCTTTGAAAATGCAATTGCACATACATCTCATTTGAATAACACTATAGCAGGACTTTTACTTTTACTTAAATGTTACTGCGGCTCACTAATAACAAGTTTTTCTTCAATTTTTCAAAACATCCCTCTTCTCCTTGAAATGAAAACCATCTGCTGAAAGCCAAAAGGGCATTAAGTCATGATTTTGTATTGAGTTACCGCCCCTCTGACTCTCACAGCAAGTGAAATACATAATTTCTTCCCAAATTTGACACAGGATACAGACATAAGTCATAATTCTTTGCGATAAGTGTAAAACGCTAGCATCTGTGGGTCAATAACAACAATGGGTGCACACCTTCATTCTATGCATGAATGGATACCAATGGATTAGGGGACCTAAACTGGCTATTGTAAGTACCGGCTGTATCGGGAGTGTTCCCCTGTGAATAATAAGCAATAGCATGCAGTCACAATTTACTTCACACAACATATACAACAACAGCATCACCCTACCTGCCTCCAAAATGGAACCTGCAATGGGTCCCCACAGGTTTACCATTTTATAGGAGTGTGATCGTAGCTTGCTGACAAGCAGGGACTCGGTTTGAATTTTAAATGATGCCAGTAGACGATCCGGAAACATTGGCTGCGACACCATTGCCATACAAGCCTTCCCTGTCAACTAAACCAGAGGTGATGCATGAACACCTGTTTATAATTTATATCATACCATTTCCTCTGGCATGTGGATACAAAAATGAGCTTTTAATATAGATATATAATTATGCATGTATATATCACAAAACTTAATCATGTAAAAACCTCAAAGATGATGACGCAAAAGTGTTATTGCACAGGTCTGTAAAGTGTAATGGTTATAAAATTATAGTAGTCTTATGCCTGCCGAAGGGCTTACAAAGCATTATGACTATAGAGGTAGCAAAGAGGAAGTAGGAGAGTTGTATAGGAGTAGTAGTAGCAATATAAGCATGATTTATATGTTGTGATATTGATCTGTAAAGTGGGTAAATTATGAAAAAATGAACATGGTGAAGAAATAATTGTTTCAAAAGATGTGAGGTGCAGACCAGAAATCTTTTTATGGAGGATGGACTCCATGAGTGAATTTGATCAATCAGCTGTTCTTAGGTATTCATAATGCACATTATCATGTTTGAATGATGATCTATCTAATGACAAGACATATTCTGTGACTCTGTCATTGGCATTAATTTCACTACCTCACATACTTCATAAATATTGACTTCAGCTAATTAAGTTTTGCACAATTGTTCTCAAATTTATGGGGACATGGACAAATGCCCTCAATAACTTCTTTGATTTCTTTTCTCCTAACATCCAGGTGAAGATTCAGTCGGAGAAATCTAACTACAGCAGGGTACAATCAAAATGTGGTTCCCTTGGCAACTCAACCCACAGGGCAGGAGGTGGAAATGTCAAGGTAATTATCTCCAATAATTAATGGTCGAGAAGAAAGAAATAAACCAAATATTCAGACGATCAGTGGAATAAAACCATTTCATGTGTATGTCAATCATAAACTGTGATTGACTCAAAAGTCCAACCCTCAATACAAGTATTAAGTGGTTCAAACATGAAAAAACAATGTACATCTGTGTCTTTTTTCTCACCGCTGATTAAAATCTTGATTCAAGAGTTAAATAGATTCTAAATTGACTACTATCCAACATCCGATACTCAAAATTTACTTTATCCTGTTTTTCAGTTGAATATGAGATCACAGTTGGCTAAGTTTCAAAGTTGGAAAGCAAATATTAATTGAGATGGGGTGATGTACTTTTGATTTAAAGCAGAAAAGTTCATGAGAAGGATGGGTTGATCGAGGGGTGAGATGCTAACACTCTTGCATGGTCCTCTACTAAATTACTAGCAATAAAACCTCTTGGTATTCATGCCATCACAGGATGGGTATAACAATATTGGAACATTACTGATGGAATTGATTGAAAGGGAAATCATATGTCAATCTCTCAACGTTATTTAATCAGTATTTATTCCTCTGAACATGCAGAAATTGAAAGCGGGCAACATTATCCAATGAATGCTGTGAAACAAATATACAATATAAATGTATTTGAGTCAAGGCATTTGGGTTTGTGAATAGAGTAAGAAGTCAACTGGATAACAAAAATGGGCCTTAAACTTTGAAAATTGTATTTCAAAAGTTCTGCATGTCACTTGTGCTGAGAGATTTAATGCTCTGTTTGTTTATTAAAGAGAGAAAGCTTTAAAAAAAACTAAAATACTAAGCTTTGTGTATTTCCTATTACTGCTTCCTGATAACCCTTGGAAACAATATAGATCTTTGACGAGAGGGTTGACTTTAGAACTCGTGCCAACAGTCGTGTTGGTTCGCTGGATAATGCCCACCACTCTCCTGGGGGTGGGAGTGTTAAGGTATTGCATGTCCTAACCGACTGACCGAATGATCGACTACCTGTCATTGCTGCGTATTGTGCATCAACATACCAACTAACAGTTATACAACATTTGCTCCTGTGACAATTGCTCTGTGGTTATTTTCCTACCGTAATCAAATTCCTAACTACTCCCCTAGACCCAACACTACACCTAACTCTAACCCTAAACCTAACCTAAAACCCAATCACAAGCCTAAACCTTAACCTGTACTTTTGAGGGAAAAAAATAAGCCCGGAGCAATTGTCACCAAAGCAAGTTTTGGAGCACCCAACTAACAGCATAACCATTTTGTAACAATGACCTCAGTATCCAAATTCAAATGTAAAATAAGTGGAAATTACTTTGATGGTTTGTTATACGTATCACACCTTAAAAAGACTAATATTAATTAAGTCATTAATTATTGTGAGTATAACGTAAAAAGCATTTAAAAAGCGTCTACTTAGGACTACTCTGGAAAAAAAGAACAAGTTAAAAATAAATAATGATTCTGTGAACATCTGAAAAGGATATTCTAGTAGCTGTTTTGCAATTTAAAAAGAAAATATTTAACCTGAAGGTACTTTTTAGTGAAATTCTTATGTCTTTTAGGGATTTTATAATACGATGCTTTCATTTGAAAACTTAAGATTTCTAAACCATTAAGTTCACATTCTTTGACAAGTATGTCTACAAAATGAATAAAATACAATATCTGTTAGGGCATGAGGCATGATTAACTAATTCTTTGTACACAATAATTTTGTTTGCTCACAAAAATAACTTTCTTTTGGTCATGATACCTTCACAAATATTGTTAGTAGGAGTCATTTCTTAGCAATGTAAATCTGACAGAGAATTATAAGTAACTTCTTCTTACCGATAGACAAAATGTTAATAAGAAAAGTTTTTTTTTTAAAGACTTTAAAAAAACTTTTAAAAAGCTTGTTAGATTGATGGTGCATGTACATTTCATTTGATTTACATCTTTTGTCATTTATGAAAGTAAGACCAAGCTTGTCTTGATACAATCTTTTGAGAGGATTAGAACTGTATTTACTTGGTTAAAGACATTTTTATTTCAGTTACATTAAAACATTTTGAAATAAATAATGTATATAATAATCTTTGATTTTGAAAGATATAGCCAAATATAAATAAATATACACACAAACAAATAGTTCTACTAGTTTTACTACTTCTAATTTCACAATGTTAGAAAATTGTTGACAGAATTATGGAGTCAAAAAATACTTGGACAGATTTTAGGCAGTCAAAAAACATGTTCAAATACTCTCTCCAAAGTTTAAAAGTGTTTTTTTGAGCATGAAAATCATACATTTCACAGTGGTAGAACTTCTACCACTGTAGAAGTCTAATGAAAATAGACAATATTTAGAAAATATTCTATTCTCTCAACTAATCAGAAATATACAAAAAACAATAATTTGTTCTCCTGTGTATGTTAAAAACTATATTGTGATGTTTTACTGTGATTTTTAATCGTTCCTGTCTACATTTTTCAATCACAAAATGTATTTTTTACATTTGGTGAAACATTCTCTACAGATGCCTAAGATATAACTATCCATTGACTCTCGAGTTATACGATTTGTCAGTTGAGAGCAAGAAGGGCATTAACTCATATCATACACATCATAATGTTTCACTTAAATGTGTGACATGACATAAATGTATATACCCCCAAAACTCACCTCAAGAAACAAAGGACAAAATCTAAACAGGCCTTTTAAAAATATTGATTCAATATTGTCTTTTATGTCTGTTGTTACATATTAGGATACTGTTGTATTGTTTATTGTTTGTGAACAAGTGCAATGTGTTTGAAAGTTCCTTTCAAGAGAGCCTTTATTATGTTGTTCTACTACCTGTAGTTTTATGTCACAATTGTACAATTGCATCTGGTCAGTATTGTGATAAATGTTGGATATTAAGCTAGGTTGTGCAGAAAACAAACCCGCTCAAAATCTAGTTAAGTGGACACAGACTTGGTAAAAAAAGGCATCCAAATACTTTATTTAAGTCTATCTAACCCTTGAATAGATGTATATGTAAAATAAACTAGAGAAAATATACAACAAAATAGCAAACAAGCAAAAAAAAATGTTAAGTCCAAGATACTAGTTAAAAATCTTAAGAACAGCTTTTGTTTGGGATAAAAACATATTTCATCAACAATATACGGTACATATAATTTAAAAGGTTGGAATTAAGTCTTGTTCATGAGTCATGCATGTAGATGTACATGTTATGTATGAATTCATGTTAATCATTTAATATGTCTCCTGTATATGCATTGTGCATGTTAAGCATGTTTTATACCTAGGTATGCTTGACATTGTGAATATCTCATTTTGTAAATGTTGTAGAATTAGCTACCCATCAAAGAATTAATCCCCTTGTAGTTTTCTTTGTTAGCAATAGAAACAATTTTAGTTTCAAGGAGAAGACATTAAGGCCAATATTCTTTTTTCAAATTTCATAATTTGCGAAAGGACTCACACATGGGGTATTTTTCCAATGGTAGAATAGTCTTATGGAAAAATTTCACTGAATTTTCACCAATTTTTCTCAAAAGATATCAGCAACATTTTCATTTCCCTGAAGATTTATTCTACCATTGCCCAAGTAAACAAGTAACCTTTGTCCAAGGAATGGTAAAGATATGATGAAATTTTTTTGCTCCGGGTCGAACGAATCTCGATATCTCAGGACTGAAAGGGAGAGGGTCAGCACTTGTTACAACATCGATTATCACCTCTTCATCGATCCTCATGGGAAATAAATAAAATAATAAATTTCATGATTGCAATGTGTTCTGCTTCTACCTCTTGGGTGTTTGGTACCACGCCTTACCCGATTCATTTCAGATTCTCCATGACCCTGTCACATTCTCAAAACCCTCAAGTAGAGTGGGATCTCTGGAGAATGCCCATCACTCACCGCACGGTGGGAAAGTCAAGGTGAACTTTATTTGCATCAAATCAACCGTTTAAAAAAAAAACTAAATTTGATTACTTTGGATTGAATGTGTGCTTTTTTAATCAAATCAAATCAAAATTTGCAGTGCATTCTAACACAATATTTCAATTTGAAAAAAAGGTAGAAAATCAAAGTGCCCCAAAAGTGCTCCTCTCATCATAGTCCAAGTGCTTGTTTGCGTAGCAGAAATGAATTTGATATTTAAAGGTATATTTTGTGTTACATATGTTGTAATGGTCGTTTCCATTTAGTGAGGTAAGTTTCGTTGTAGTGCATGAAATTAGTTTATATATAAATGTAATAGCAATTTACATAGTACAGGTATACCTCTTTGTTAGTTGCATATTCAATCCCCCGTGCCGATTTGCTTACCGACTAAACTTCCTTATGCACATGAAACTTCCTTCTTTCCTGAGCGACCACTTTTTGCAGAACCTTGAAAATTCCCACTTCCCACATGCAAACTACACTATTTTCTTAATCACTTTTTTTTCTGTGGTGGCCACTGGAACTCACTAAGAGGTAATTATGTATTTTTCATAGTGGATAATAAAAATCTGTAGAGATTTGCATATCTACTAGAAATACATACTTACCTCTTTGTTGCCCCCTTTTGTACCACAGTTCCTCAACTATAGTATAATCTCCGAAAAGCAAAGAAGTAATTAGTAGGTTGGAAAGTAGACTTGGGAGTAGGGGGGGGGGGGGCAGCAAAAGGAGACCTACCATGGCAGGTCTAGGTGGTAAGCATAATCTGCAAGGGGAATATACAGCTGACAAAGAGGTAAATAGCGAACCATATCCCATGAAAGGCAGATAGCATCTGTAAACCCCTGCATGCAAACTGTCCTAGCCTCGAGCACTACGTCTAGTTTCCTTAAAAGATACTATCGCAAAAGTAAATTTGAGCTTGGGAGAATAGATTACTTTTGGATTATTGAACTGTAATTGAGTAACCAGCATAAACCTCCATCGATTTCCTCATTTCATTTTCCCATTTGAACCTGCAGTTTATCTCATGGGAATTGTTCACTTCACAGACTATTGTTGCATGCACTGTTTCTCTTTATCTTGTGCATGCTATATTGTCCTGTTCTTTGTTTTTTTCTTTTCTTCTCTGTGCAATGTTGTCTTTTGTGGTCAATCAAGATTCTGCATGATCCAGTTGCTTTCCCCAAGTCGTCTGTATCCAGTAAAATCGGTTCCTTGGACAATGCCCAGCATTCTCCTGGAGGTGGCAACGTCAAGGTGACCTATTAGGACCTTATGTCTTCATTTCTGTGGATGGTTTTATTTGAAGTGGCAACTTCATACCCGGGAGTATCTTAATGATTGTAGAAATTATATAATGCAATGCCACTGAATGAATCTATTCATCTTAAAGGGTTTATGCATTTTGAAATATGTACAATACCTCTAGACTCGCTGATGATTTTAACACAATTTCAACTATTCCATATCATCTGACTTTATTATTTTAATGTATCCCCATTTTACTGATTGAGAAGAACAATTTAATTCTTTAATCTATAACGAAATACTTTACTCATAATTTTAGGCATTGCTAATTAAAAAAAAAAAGAAAAAAAGTTGCACTACATTTTTTCAAATATGTGTTTTCTTTTGACTTAACTTAAGTTGCACTACATTTTCATAACTATACCCCTTGAAGGAATCAATATTTCAACTTGGTTTATAGTTATATTTTCAAATATGTGTTTTCTTTTGACTTAACTTATGCATGCTCTCAATTTGATTTACTGTGATATTTGCAAAAGTAATCTTTGTTATCTTTGTCTGACTTTTGTGTGTTTTTAACTATTATTTCCTTGTTTCTGTTCCAAAAAATATGCCTTTACTTTTACCAGCTTACTAGCTCTGATCTAAATTAACACAAATATCATGAAAAAACAAAGAACAAACACACGCCAATACCACCAGGGAATAAATAGTATATTGCACATTCTATGTATCATTTTTCATACACAATGCGCATCACGAGACAATTACCGTAAAACTATATACAGAACATTTAGTTATCTATACGCATCTTCAGACTTCTTCAAACCCTAACCAGATCATTATAGGAAAAGTTATATGTAATACCTTAAATCCCTAACCATTTCTCTCTCTTCTTTTTTATTCCATTATTGTATTTATTTTTCTTATTCTGATTTCCTTCCTGCTTCCCATGTACAAATAAAAATATCTTGTTCGCCACCGTCCTCCCTAAAGATTACAAGTGCTTCCATGGATTTCAGCAAAAAGGCAAAAAGTAAAATAGGATCTCTGGACAATGCTCATCATTCTCCAAAGGGTGGAAATGTAAAGGTACGGATGGATGTAGTAGAAGTAGTAATGCTAGCGGTAGATATACTACAGTATTACCTAGCTTGATGTATTGTTATTTAAAAGACTGCAGATGCCAGCTCTTCTCGCTTTCGTTAATAAAAAAAAATTGAAAGGCCACTTTCTTATAAAAAACTTAGTGCTTTATTCACATCTTGTTATTTTATTGTTTATTTCCCCCTTCTTCTTTTGCAATAATAACATGTGAACATATGACAATTTTTTGGACACTGAATATAACCAAAATAGCATTGTTAAAATATTAATGATTTGTTTTATTTTGAACCGTATTAATAGTAGAGGAGCATGGTATAGATATATTCTGTAGGCCTATTGCAGTATCATACTGAATTTTGTAAAAAATTGATAACTGGATGATGGTTTGTACTAGAAGGAAAAAGATTAAGAAAGCAAAGGCAGACAGAGAAGAAATGTATGGAAATTGTACGCAAGAAATATCTAGTAGATTAATCATAATGCATACTGTCATGTAATACATTAATATATTTAAACTGAAATCCAAATATTCATTCAGTTTACTTTCCTTTCCTGTCATTTTCTTATGAAAGATATTGAACAGATATACTATATAAAAATTATGTTATTACCAAGTAATATGAAAATAAGAAATATTGAAAATCAACTGATACTAATTGAAAGTTTAAGTACATTTGTGTGTTTTATGTTATGTAAAATACTGTCACATTTAAACCATTTGAGTGTTTCTTAAATTTGTGACTTATTAACATTGGATGTTTGCATTATTTGTAGAAATAAGGCAATAGTTAAAATTTCTGTTCAATATCCCATTAACAAATTATAATTTGTATTCTTTTCTTCTCTTTTTTAATAGAGATAAACTCAATTATTATTATTTTTTAATGTGTCTTTCTGGTTAAAAGAGAGATGTTTCTGTTAACTTTTTCCTAAATATCACTGAACAAGGATGGCGAACTTCAAGCTAGGCTGACAATGATGTGAATAATTGATGAAAAGAATTATTGTGAATTGCAGGTTTGAACAAAGTAGAGCCAAGACTACACCAGTCCAAGATCTTCAGCTCTCATTTTTTTTTTAAATCTCACAGAACTGTGCCAGCATCTGGAGACAACTTTTCACTTTCCATTCTTTTTTACGAATACATAAACTATCAAATAAAACAAAATAAAGAGAGAGAAACTAAAGGAGAGAAAATAAAGGATAATTACAGTCAATTTATAGCTCAAATGGAATTGGGCATTAATTTTGAGTAAATGTTTCAGAAATTTATCATCAGATTGCAAAAATTAGAAACTGCTTTTATATTCTGCTGCCTCACAAATATTTAGTGGGCCGGTAAAATTCTCCTCTTACTTTGTTTTCCTTGATTTATGCACACTATTTGTACATTTTGATCACACTGGTATGCGATTTGTTCTAGGTGGTTGTACATCTTCAATTTCTATTTCATTCTTCATTTCATTTTTTCTATGTACAAAATTAAACAAGAGGATGCATGATTTGACCGAACAGGGACAGTGTCTCATTATCACATTTCTCTTTTCCCTTTTTTTGTCCAGGGGGGGGGGGGGGGGGGGGGGGGGAGGGGGGGGGGCACAAGTTATGTGCATTGCAAAATTGTATTTACAGAAATGTTAGCCATTGGAAGAATTTACTAATCAAATTAGGGAAAAATGCCACACATCAAAAATGATTTCAATTGCATAAAATAAAATATGCAAAAAACATTGGAAAGAGATAAACTTCTTTGTTTAATTTTGTCATTATCCTCAGTTGTGTGTTGTACTCTCTTTCATACTTTTCCTTTTCTGAATACCTTTTTTCAGGTTTTTATTAAGTTTTATTTTTTCCTTTTTTTTCTGCAATTTTTCATCCCATTTAATTCCAGATATTGAATCAGTCTGCAGACTACTCAAAGACGGTGAAAAGCAAAATTGGATCGCTTGACAATGCCACACATTCCCCAGGAGGAGGAAATGTAAAGGTAGTAACATGCACATCAACAACTAAACTTTCAAACTTTTATTTCTTCCCCAATTCAAGAATTTCAACAAAGCTGCAGCATCTTTTCTTTGAGTTTTATGTAGATCAATTCTGTTTTTATTTTCCAGTTGCTGTTTTCATCAGACTTGCAGCATTTATGGATACTTATCCTCATTCTTTTTCACTTCTGAAAAAAACAAAAACAACACATTGCCAGTGATACATTGAACTCAAAATTTACAATGAAGTCCGTAACTCCAATATTTTGTTAATATGACATTTCTTGTATATGTATCTTAACAAAATATGAATCCTATTTCAAATTTTAAAAGACAGACAAGGTTTTCTTTGCCAAAAACAAATAACGCAAGAATCTGTATGGTTACAATTAAATTGAAAAACTTTGACAGTGTAAAGAATTTCTCTTATAACTGAGCCAATTGAGTTTATGTTTTTAAATAAGGAAAATATCTGAAATGAATGATGATTTTAAAAAAAATGTTATAACCAATTTGTGAAGTGCAATCCCATGAATTTATTCATAATAGTCTTATCATTAATCCTGATTAACAAAAACCAACAATGCTAATCTTCCTAAAGACCAGTATGCCAGTTCATCTGGACAATTGGAGAAAAAAAAGAAAAGAAAGAGAATAAGAGTGCATTTAAAATCTAATCCTTGTCTCTATTTCAATATTCTTTTAAAACTATAAAGATTGAAAAAAAGAAGGTGGACTTTGGCAAGAAGGTCACATCCAAGATTGGTTCTCTGGACAATGCCACGCACAAACCTGGAGGAGGGAAGGTGAAGATTGAAAAGAAGAAGTTGGATTTCAAGGACAAAGCAGCTTCAAAGATAGGATCCAAGGACAACATCAAACACCAGGCTGGAGGCGGCCAGGTCAAGATCGAGAACAAGAAACTCGACTTCAAAGTAAAGGCCACCTCAAAGATCGGCTCCAAAGACAACATTGAACACAAGCCAGGTGGAGGGCAAGTCAAGGTATGATACCGTATCAAATGAAGAAGAATTTTTTCATAGTTTTTTCATGGTCTTCTTTTAATTCCTTGAAAAGTACACTACAAAGTGGCGTGCACACGGTCATTGCACGTTCAATCTTAATCAGGAAACCAAGTACACCATAAATCAATAAATCCATAAAATTTCACTTTGTACCTCTTTCGACCTCTAATATTTTACCCTAGATCCCAGAAGAAAAGATTTGTTTAAAGTCACAATGAAGTACCTAGCTATCTTGTCACTATATGGATGGATCTGATAAGTTTTCAATGATACATGTACGGTATAGGGAAGCTAATTCAACAAATGGATTTGTATAAAAGGCAATATTTTTAAGATTCCAAATTGTTTTCTTTGATAGATACAAGAAGAAAAGCTAGAATTCAAGGCAAAGGCTTCGAGTAAGATTGGATCCCTTGATAATGCCAGTCATAAACCAGGAGGTGGAGATGTACACGTAAGTTTCCCCTGCATGGAGCATGACCCTGCAATTATATTTCTGCAGAAACTCTCATCTTATTGGCTGAAGTATCTAGATGTTTAGTTGTTTTACCACAGAAAATAATTTTTTGACAGGCCTTTTTAAAACTAAGGATTTTCAGTGGAAGGGAATTGGTAGAGCCCATGGAATATTTTTTAAAAGAAATTAATTTTTTGTTTTACCACAGATAATAATTTTTGACAGGCCTTTATAAAACTGAAAATTTTCATTGGAAGGGACTTGGTAGAGCCCATGCAATATTTGTTTAAAGATATTTAGTTTTTGTATCCAGTGGTTTAGGTATGAGCAATATTCTATCAAATCTAAACATGCAAGGCTGGTTTCTTCAATCATTGAACACCGACAATAGGATCAAAGTTGTACATGATGTTTTTATTCTCATGGACACGATTGCACATAACGGCCTCAAACTTTACAAAGAGACTTACCTGAAACTATAATGGAAAAGGCCACAGGGAATTGCAGACTGATTTAATTCCATCTTCACTGGCATGCTAACAAGAATTTTTATAAGTGTATATCCTTATCATTACATGTAGTTATATATTCTTCTTCTTTCACAGATTTTAGATGAGAAACTGGAGTTCAGTACCAAAGCTCAGAGCAAGGTCGGGTCAATGGACAATGCCGACCATCAACCTAGTGGGGGAGATGTGAAGGTCAGTATATTGTATAATTCTTGAAATCATGTGACACTTAAAGCTTTAAACACACATGAAGAAGGGCAATCAGTAGTCCTATATTAATAGATATTATTTTCAAAGAATAATATCATTATCAATGTAAATGTAAATCTATTAAAGTCATTCAAAGACTTCTCCAGTAATAATAACTGAAAGTGCACTGAATTTTTTTTTATTATCATGTAAGTCCTTCAAATTAAAGGACTGTTGGATATTTTTTTTATATTTATGGCTTAAGTAAGATTTTTGTGAGTTCTGAATAGAATTTTAAGGTTTCTTTCAATGAAAGAAGAAGCTTAGCTTCAAGGAATTTCATTGGCGCCCCCAGCCCCCCCCCCCCCCCAAGAAAGTAGTTGGTCTCTAAATATCCTCAAATTGTCTGGTGTCCAAACAGGATATCCCGCTGAATGACTGGCTACGGAGAATTCTTAGTTTGTTGACATCTCTCCTGTATGATCCTGGAATTTTGAAACTACATCAGGGAAACAGGTGAATTTGTTTTCATGAAGGAACCCTGCTTTGTACATAATCATTTACCAGTACTCTAGATTTTCTTCTGTACTTGTAGAAATGTTCCTCAGTTGTGGATATTTACCAAGACACACAAGCATGCAAGTCATTACCAGCTGTATTTCAGTAAATTTTTTAAATGATGTTTACTTCAAATGAATTACATTTCTTTTGATCTTTTCAATGTTTTTCTTTGGTCAGATTTTTGATGAAAAGCCTACATTCCAGCACGCCTCACCACGTACAGACGAACACGACGATGACGGTATTCATTAAGGACAAGCGAAGCCATGACTTGATCTGCAATCCTATGGCTGTGACTCTCCCTGAATGGTGACCCTTTCTCCAAAGTAAAAGAAAAGATTCCCTCAAGGGTCAGTGGATACAGAACCCCTGCCACGATAGTCAGCTAAAACTGCACACCAGTCATCTGAATCATCCAGTTGTGGTATAAAAGATGGTGTCGTGGGAGATCTTATGGGGAACCATTCAAGATTTCACAGATATTATGTGTAATCGATCATCCGGATTGCAACCAAATTTATGTCCAACGGGTCTTACTACTCATTGACTTCTGAACCCTATTGTTCCCATATGCTTCCCATATCCTTAATACAGGGGTCATTGGGTTCCAGTATAAGCAGTATTAATGGGTGTATCATTCAAAAACTTTTGCTAAAAGAGATATTTCTCAAAATAATTCCTTCTGCCTAACCAAATCACTTGCCAAGAGCAATTCAAACTAGATTTGGGTCTCAGCAGTGCCATTAATTTTTTCTGGTCTTCATACATGGTTGGTACATGCATGTACCTGCACGGGGAGTCCAGTGTAGACAAACCAAAGAAGTTTGAACTCCTGCATCACTGTCTGCAGATATCATACCAGTCATTTTTGGGCTAAGGTATACAAAGATGTGATCATAGATGTGATCAGTAACTATTCTTATCATCAGTGATGTTGCTACTGGTGTTAAACTAATAAAGGTTTTAAACTTGTCACCAGCCCTATATGAATATAAAAACTGCACAACTGATGCTACTGAAGTCCAATACCACAGGATACTTGTATGTTATTTATTAAGAAAAACTTTAACCAGTTTTATCATGGTGTTAATTCAACTAGCCGTTGACAGACATTGTTGTCTTGACTTTAATAGCAAAGGGGTTAATCCTTGTAATTCTCTCATGGAGATTTCAGTCAGCATATAGAAAGGTGTAAACCATATGAGCTAAATCTCCAGCATTGTTCGTATGTGAAAATTCATGGAAGCAGCTTGCATGCATTGCTCCAAAACTTGGTGTAAGTTAATCTTAAGTTCTGATTACATAAATGCATTCAAGAAAAGTGCTAATTATAAATCATGCAGTAGATTGTTGGTTTGCACCGCCAAAATATAAACAAAGTACGACAAATTGCTGCAAATAACTGAAAAAAGCATAACTCCCATATGCATATCACGTACTTGTTGTGATCACCTTTGTTTGCTCATTTATTGGCTATTTTACATTTTCTACCAAATTCATAAGGCCGATGTCATTATGATTTGTGGTTTGAATACTTGATCTTGTGTAAGTTTTTTGATTGTTTCTTGGACAATTTATTATGCAGAACTCAAGATTATCTTTATGTAATCGACTTTTGTTGATAATCACATGTACTCCACTCTATGACTCTACATCTTGTTTCAACTCATGCATGTATAAAAAATAATCATGAGATTTTTAGAAAGTCCACAGGAAGTTTGCAGCCATTTGATAGAGCCAGTAAAGCGCTCTGAGCCATGAAACAACTATAGTACCAGCTGCTTTCACTAATGGTGCAGCCACACTTTCATGTAAAACCTAGCTTTAAGATGGAGCCACTTGTGTGATACCCAGTGGGATTACGGCATGTATATGATACTTGCGGGGTCTACAAGGTGCTTACTCCAAATGAAGGCCAAGATTGTCAACATGTTCAAAATTTATATCAAGTCAGCCCCGACTATTGCTATGGAGCTATGGAGCATATATGGGTTTTGCGTTTGCTTCTGTGGCGTCGAGAGCTTACATTGCAGATACGGCCAATTTTACGAGAGTCAAAAGGGGCGAGTGCGTTGCTATGTTGTGACTTTCCTTCATGCAGCTATGAGGCTCCTGTGGGGGTAATAACAGTGCCATCAACAGTAAAAGCAAGACCTATGTGGGGCTTACACTGAGCTAGGTTTTACATGAAAGTGTTGACTGTGGCATAGGAATGACTCCCTCAAACTGTATCCAAGGGAGGTTCATGTACATAATCATATGTGTTTCATTTTTAATGTTTTGTGGATATATCATGTGAATGTGTATGTATACTTCTGTGTAAATATGAGAAAATAAGTCGAAGATAAAGCATTGACGATGCTATGATTTTGTAACTTGTTTGTTCCAATTATTGATGTGTTTGTGGCAAAAATGCACTGCAAATATTAGCTTATATTGGTTTAGGTGCAAGAGGAAAACAAAAATCATGGGAAAATTGCAATAAGTTTTTACTATGAAATTAAGCGAAGCATCAACTTATTCAGTGTTTATCGGATATTCCTCAATGTATGTGAACTAATCTATTCCCAAATTTTAGATGTTCTGAATCTTCTGAATATATTAAAATGGAATGTAGAGAGGAAAAAACTATTTTAATCATGTTTGTAATTATGTAATCATGGTTATGATTCTATTATTGAAATGCTTCTGGACCTAATCTGAATTATTTATAATCGTACGGTTTTATCTGTAAATTATTTACCAGTTTTATCTGTAAAATTCTTAGAGACATCATCGACGTATTAAGCTCCATATAAGCCCAGAATATCAACATGTATGGTAGTTCTGCTTTTCCTACATTTCATCTCAAGACAGCGCTAGAAACGATATATTACATGTTCAATTGAGATGTAGATTTTTATAGATTAAACACATATGAGGAACAGACAACATACTCATGCAAAACTTGTGTTTCCTGCAACTAGACAACCGTTTCCTTCACTACAGTGATATGCAGTGTATCATGATCAGTGACAAAAATATTGAATATGCCCTAATTACATTAATATTGATTATTATTCAAAGGTCAGTTCTTGTCAGTGTGTCATATACTGGTATGCTTTATTTTAAAGGAAACTTCATTTCTTATGAAAAAAGCCAGAATGTAAAGAATTTGCTTGTATTTGTAATACGTATTCAGTTAATTAAGCAGCTGCTGATGGCAAATTCTTGAAAATATGGTTGAAATTTTTATCATTAATATTATATTTCTTATTCTTTGGTTATATTATTGTGCATGATGTGTATCTAAAAAGATTAAAAGAAACAAATTATCTGAAGAAATGGAAAAATTGAAGTTGAAATGTAAACCTGCATTTGACTTCAAACTAAAAGAAAGAACAGTGTCTTTCTAAATATTTTCAAAGTTCTACACATCAAAATGTGTGTACATGTACAAGAAGTATGTAGTATGACAAGCAGTTTACTAGTATGATGATAAAGATAAAGAATTGTAGTAGAAAAAAAAGAGCAAATTCATGTAATTCTGATCAGACTCACATAGATAAACGAGAAGGTTATCAAAAATGTATTTTCAAATGTATTAGTGAATCACATCTTTATGTATTTATTTGTAATACAATTCTTTTTAAAAGCTTAAGGATGAACTATACTATAGCATGAAAAAATGAAACATACAGTTTGTTCGTTAGTTTTCTTGAAATAGATTATTTATTATACTTTACTGCTTTATAAAAGAAAATATTTACATTGAGATTAACAACATGATTATACCGATTCATATTTACTTAACAGCATGAAAATGAAGTTTAATAATCTAAACTGCAGATAAATAATATGTATTTACTTCTTAAAATTCTAAGTACAAAGAAAGAGAACGAGTTCTTGTGCTGATCTCTGAACTTCTCTAGCTACAACATTACATTCACACGTATTCCCTCTTGTAGTTAAGAAATATAAAGATCTTGAATATATCTTTAGTACAAGAGCATGTTCTAACTCTGAACCATGACCATTTGATGGTCATTCATACATTAGTAGTTAGTAGTATGTATTGCACAAGTTCATTTATGCCACTGCAAGAGTTACTTTCTTAGCTACAGATGTGTCTGTAAACTGTATGTAGTCAGTCAAATATTACACTGAGTTGAAAATTGAAGAAAAAAAGTCTCTAGAAAACTCTCACATTGCTGAATGGTGAAACATTTTACACTGCCAAATATGTAACCCTGTATGAAAGTCTATCTTCTTGTAGTTATGAAGTAGAATTTTGAGGAAGAAGTGCAGATGCGTCTCTCCGATTGACATAAATCATTTCATTCATTTCATTACTTTCAGTAATTTATTGTAGTATGGTCATATATAAGTTTGTATAAGGGCTGTCTACAGTCTGTATATCCTTTTAAAATGTGAGCCACTCGCTATTCAAGTACAAATATCTCCTTTTCTATTATATATTTTAATATATAATGTGATTTTATGTAGATGTGATTGAAACTTTGTAAGCCATGCAAGTGAAGATGAATGACAAAAAAAAAAAAAAAACAGTTTAATGTACTTTTAAACATTTACTCTATTTTACTACATTCCCTATCAAAATGTGCCATTTTCCTTGCTAAGTTATAAACAATGAAATGCCAGAAAATTTTGCCAATGGTTTTGGTGAAGAATTTTGTTGTTAGAACAACTTGAGTGGCGTTTATGATTTGTAGATAAATGTCATGATCACTTGAAAAGTCATACATCAACATCATGACGAGAGAATAGGAATAATACAATATATCACTTCTTTATAATTTCTATAGACTGCAAAACTAATCATTAGACATTAATGCATGTATTAATTGTCATTTATATTGATATACCATTATAAAACCCTTTCACAGATATTGAAAGTGTACTGCCTACACCTGATTTTGTCGGTAGCTAAACCTGTAGAAAAAAGTATTACAACAAGAAAGCAGCTGTAGTTGCCATACATGATAGCAATGAATGGCATGGCAATAGAACTACTATTAGCATTGTAGATCTGCACCACTGGTATAGTAAATTGGAACTATATGTGTGCCTAACATATGACCGGATAGACTATGATTAGCAGTTAATTAAGAGTGTAGAAACTGCCATGTAAACCCAACAGGATAACAAAGTCATTGAAATCAGTAAGTGTATCAACTTACTATACATTTACATGTATCATGCTCATAATAAAAACTTAAGAAGTTCATTTGCAAGTTGATTATCAACTACCACTGAGAAATAAGTTGGCTTCATCAAATCAGATTTCATCCATTCTTTCAGTTCAGATTAAAAGAAAAAAAACCTCTCAATTGTAAAACAGAAAGTACAGAAAGGGAAAGAAGATTATATAAAAGAAAGAAATAAAGGAGATTAAAGGCAAGTTCTTGAGGGAAGGTGAATAAATAATGTTAAAACTGGTGGGAAACAGTAGAAAATTTGAATTTTGATTGTTTTAAATGATAATGTACCATGTCATCTCTCAAAGTGTTCAAATATTCTGTGTCATGATTACTCGATCAACATGCAATTTTTCACATAAAGGGGCACCATAATAATGCATATAAAGAAGATCTTGTCTCGTTTTTAATATTCCAATTTAGAACATGCTGAATTGAAAATGTGTTACTCAGTTCTCTAAACATCAATTTTTAAAAATAATTTCATCCTTCATATACAGAATACTCATTGTATGAGTTGCACAAAAGATATAAAACTAACTCATGTTTAGTTATTCTGGTGATGTTCAGTTATTCTGTTGTCACAAACAAAATAAGTGTTCATGTATTGGAGATAAAGAGGTAGTGTTTTAACAAAGCATTTATTGAGAAGGAATCCTAATCAAGTAGCTATTTTTTAATATGGAAATTGCTCACTGTTTTCATTCGCAAAGTATAGATATGAAACAATGTCAATCAACTTTATTTGAAGACATACTGAATATAGCTATTGAGATGTAAGTTATAGAGCACCTGTAATCTTCTGCAAAATGGCTTAATTTCAAGGTTGCTGCATGTATACTAGTCAACTGAAGTAGTATTTTTCTTGCATTCAAATACTTTGATAAACTTATGCTCATTTGCTTGTGGCTCGTTGCTTATAATGATAAGAATCCTCAAAGATATCTGCAAATAAACTAATAAATTTGTGAAATTAAATATACCGTTCAGGATGTGTGGACCTACTACATAATTCATGTTTCTTTTCGTTCCATAGGAATGTGAAGAAGAGAGAGAGAGAGAGAGAGAGAGAAAGAAGGAGGGAGATGGGTGCATATTCAAACCAAGTGAAGAAAAGGGTTTGGACTTATATGATGGAATACTGAGATTGAAATGATGAATGCAAAAGTTTAAAAAACATACATAAGATAAACAAAGAACACTTAAAGCCCTTCTAAAGTGTTGGGAGCTCGAAATTTGCTAGAAATTTCATGGCAAAATTACCTTTAAATTGTTTCATAATGTGAAAGAGAATGTCAAAGATTCCCCCCCCCCTCCCAATCTTTTTTTGAAGACTAATATTGATAAAAGAAAAGTAATTTGGGTTTTCTGTTGTACAGAAAACCTAAGTTTTGTACTCTTTCATCAATATTTGACTACAAACACATTTCTTTTGAAAATCCTTGCAGAAATGTGTCTGAAATGACATCCTCTTCAACATATACAATTTAAGTGAAATTTTGCCATCAGATTTGTGGGAAACGCTTTAGAGGGAGGGAGCAGTGAGGGAGATTTGATAATAGGACAATAGGTAAAGATAGAACAAGAAGTGTATGACTATAATAAGGCAAAGCAAAGATAGTCAAATGTGTATAGCACACATGGGGAGTGAGGACACAAGAAGTGTTTGACTATAATATCAAAGATAGTCAAATGTGTATAGCACACATGGGGAGTGAGGACACAAGAAGTGTATGAATATAATATCAAAGATAGTCAAATATGTATAGCACACATGGGGAGTGAGGACACAAGAAGTGTATGAATATAATATCAAAGATAGTCAAATATGTATAGCACACATGGGGAGTGAGGACACAAGATGTGTATGAATATAATATCAAAGATAGTCAAATGTGTATGGCACACATGGGGAGTGAGGAAACAAGAAGTGTTTGACTATAAGGCATATGAAAGATAGTCAAATGTGTATGGCACACATGGGGAGTGAGGAGATAAGAAGTGTATGAATATAAAGCATATCAAAGATAGTCAAACACAGCACACATGGGGAGTGAGGACACAAGGCGTGTATGAATATAAGGCATATCAAAGATAGTCAAATGTGTATAGCACACATGGGGAGTGAGGACACAAGATGTGTATGAATATAAATCATATCAAAGTTAGTCAAATGTGTATGACACACATGGGGAGTGAGGAAACAAGAAGTGCTTGACTATAAGGCATATCAAAGATAGTCAAATGTGTATAGCAGATATGGGGAGTGAGGACATAAGAAGTGTATGAATATAAAGCATATCAAAAATAGTCAAACATAGCACACATTGGGAGTGAGGACACAAGAAGTGTTTGACTATAAGGCATATCAAAGATAGTCAAATGTGTATAGCACACATGGGGAGTGAGGACAAGAGATGTGTATGAATACAAAGAATATCAAAGATAGTCAAATGTGTATGGCACACATGGGGAGTGAAGACGCATTACCTCCACTGGTACATCGGACTCCTTTTTCCGGTTAACCCATCTTACAAGAACAAGACATGCCCATCAGGCGACAGCCCTGGATTTAGGAAAACTCCAAGCGGATGCTTACAGACAAACAGGAAAGTCCCAATGGAGATGACTAAAGATGTCTGGAGATAAAAGATGCTAAGCAAGAGTCCCACTTTCCAATACTGGAATTAAATGCTTTTCCTTGCTTTTGTGAGAGCTCATCGGGAAGTACAGGGTAGTACCATGGCTAGAGATGAGTACCACAGGTACCATAGAGTACCATGGTTACCATGGTTCTTTTTTATAAGGGTAGCCCAGCTTACACCAATCATTCCTTACGTGCCACAACAATAAACACACTGGACAGTGCTGGAGTTCAAGGTCGAGACATAATGTCAATAAGCGGACATAAGAGCAATTCCAGTCTCCGCCACTATAGTCGGACAAGCGACCAGAGAAAGAGAGAGATGAGCGGCATGCTTGCCAAACATCTGTACTCTGGACCTGAGTCTAACACTGCTTCTAGATCTACTGCTACTTCTTCTACTTCTACTGCTCCTTCTATTTCTACTAGTTCTACATTCAGCAGCATTACTAGGTCTACTACAACTTCTAGCCAAGAAACCGTGGCATACAGCGATTCTGCATCTTCCCAGCCCACTGTCGAATTCAGCTCGTCACAACAGATATATCAGCAGCAGAGCATCCAGAAAGTTTTTCATTTTCATGGATGCAACATGAATATCTATAACTGATTTTACTCCACTGTAAATAGTCTACGTTCAAACTGTAAATGGTTTTTGTTTTAGGCCTACTTTTGCCTTGGTTTTTTGCCTGTTTTGACTTTTGGATTTTATAATGAAGCCAGGAATTTTGCCATTTTTCGTCATTTTCTTGCTCAAATCGTAGGAATTCTGGGAATGCAAAAAAAGTTTTATGCGTGGCCTAATAATAATACTTAAAATATTTTGTTGATGACCAATCAATAAACAGTAGTTGGCGTATTTTTACGTCATTGCTCATGAATATTCATTGACCCTCCAAAATCATGGTTCAAATCGAACAAAACCCCCATAATGCATCCAAAGCAAAACCTATGGAATGTCAAAGGTCACGATTTTAGTTGTCTCTCTAGTCCTCCTATGAAGGACATTTTTTGCATCAGCTTCTTAGGAATGTTTCTGATAAAGTCTTACAGGGTTTTTTTTAGATTCATGTTTGAGATATTATTCGTTTTTTTATGAAACGTCTTGGTGCGCAGACTTGGGTGCCTCAATAATACTGTTACTGTTGGAATGTGGATTTCAATTCATTTCAACACCACACAGCTAAACAATTCAAACTTTTTAAATTGACTGCTGTTATTTTCTTGTTCACAGCTGAAACAGATGGTATAGACCATCTCATCAAATGGAAGAAGGACGGATCCATGCACTATGTGGATTCGAAAGGATTTTGGTACTATATAATTGAATTTTCGTAAGTTACCGTCATATGAATAAGTAGTTAGTCCGGTATGCATGCCGCGGAAGGCATGCATACCCAAACAGATGAAATGGATATAGACTCTCACTTGAACTATATTGTAATTCCAGTTACACATTTAAATCATTGTCATTGAAATCCATTAAGAATCCTGGACAGAAAGAATGTCAAGATCCATTGGATGAAGCTCAAACAGAGTCAAACCTGCAAAAGGGACACACTACATGTACCTATGGAAGGACAACTTGTTCTGGAAGAACTTATGATGACTGAAGATCATGAGCCTACAGTAGAGAGCCAGTCAGAAGATGATGATCCAAGAGTAAGGAGCCAGCCAGGTGTTAATAGCGGACAAACCAATGGAGCCAAAAAAGAAAAATTGAATAGCAAGACCTTGCCCCATCTGTGGTAAGATGCAACCATTGATATCCAGGCATTTGATACAGGCACATGGCGTAGCAGATCCGCAACAAAGAGCGGCTTTGTTAGAAAAATCAAAATCCAGGAAACTGTGACTGGAGAGGATTTCAAAGAAAGTGATGAATCATCTGATGCTGAGTGGCAGCGGGTGGAGCTGAAAAAGCGAAAGACTCATATGCCGAACCGCCGGCTCATGTCCAGTCAGGAAGAGACAGTGATGGAGATGAAAGTTATGGGAGCGTTGAAGGCCAATAAGAGAAAGGGAAAGCCTAAGACATATATTCCGTGATGAAAGAGGTCTGCAAGAGCATGTCCTTTGTTGCCAAGTTTAATAACAGACAGTTCATTGACCGTGCTAGGCATCAAAGGTATAAGGAAAAATTCGCATAATGCAATAAAAACGTAAATTGCCTTGGACCAAATTTTAGTTGTTTTTGTTGGCTAGCACATAGTGCAATAATTTTCATTTGTTTGATGTTAAAAAAGATTAAGAAAAACTCCACAGGATTTTATATTAATAGTTCCACGGTAAAGTTGATATTAAATGGATAGTTTCAATATCATTTAAGGAACATTGAACTGCCTTGTGTACTTTCTAAGGAAACTACATAGACCTAAGATTGAACCCAAAAATGTAATTGTCCACTCTTTTAAGAGATTTGACACAACACTTTTTCGGAGATCTATATAGCTGTCAAATGGGAAGGCATCTTGAAGCTCAAGATATTAACTTGATGTGGGATGCATGGAAACAGGATTTTGGAAAATCTTGCAATAGAAAATCCTGTAGTAACAATGAAAGTAAGAGGGCAGAAGAAAGGATCTTCTTCAAGTTGAGAAGCTTTCTATTAAGAGGTGCTGCAAGCCAGAGAATTTTGGAGAGGTGCAGAGCATGCAGCTACATCATTTCTCTGATGCGAGCAGTGCTGGTTATGGCCAATGTACCTACATCAGGTTTACAAGTGTGGATGAGAAGGTTCATTGCGCATTGGCTATGGGGAAGTCCAAAGTAGCTCCATTAAAACCAGTAACTATCCCTAGACTGCAGTGGTGTCTGTGAAGATCAGCTCATTTCTACAGAAGGAACTAAAACTGATGTTTGCTGATCAATACTTCTGGACAAATAGCCAAGTGGTACTGAGCTACATCAAGAATGAACACAAGAGGTTCCATGTGTTCATAGCCAACCGAGTGAGAGAAATTAGAGATGTATCTTCACCATCTCAGTGGCGGTACATAGAATCCAGCGACAATCACGCTGATGGGGCCTCCAGAAGACTGGGAGTTGAAGAATGGAAACAGCAGGCAAAACCCATTAGATAAGTTTAATGAGGATGAGATGTACGAGAGGTACAGATTTTCCAGAAGAGGCGTTATGCTACTAGATATCTTGGATCTGCTATTGGATTGGAAGACATCCAGAAGCCATGCCATTGATGGGCGGATGCAATTGTTTATGGCACTGCGTTTCTACGCCAGTGGCACCGTGCACCACAACCATGGTGGCCATCACGGAATCAGCAAGGCCAGCGCAAGCAGGATTGTTCGTTGGGTTAACCGTGTTCTGGTACGGATGAAAGATG